ATCGCCTGGTATCCTCCGAGGCCGGAGCGCCGAGCACCGCCTCGCCCTCCAGCCTCCGCCCCTTCCTCCTCCAGGCAGGCCGCCCTGGTTTCCCTCGCGGGGCGGAACCATTGTCCTCTGCACCCTTCCGGCCTCTCCTCCCGGCAGTTGCAGCGACCTGCCCAGATGGTCCCTCAGTGTCAGTCCGTCCAGGACCCCGCGTGTCTAGTTTCCATTTCTGCCAGAGGAGGGAACCTTGTCCCGTGCGGCTTTCTGCTTAATCTGAACTCTTCATAAACTGAATTTAATGTTCCGGGGTTTTGGGGCCCAAGTCCCTGATAGGAGTCCAGTTGATATCCGCTTTATGGCGGCTGGTGAATTAGCCCCGATGCTGACTCGGGCCTTTTGTCAGTGCCACAGGCTGAAACAGCCCTGAACCCAGATAATTCCGTGTGTTGGCTTCTGTGACGTTCTGGTTTCGCTTAACCAGGGAATTTCAGTAGGAGTTAGAGTGCAGGAGGCTTTATAATAACTGGCTTCTGGCTGTTTGTTGATTGACTCCTAAATCTTAAAGGGGGGAGGGGCAGATATTGGAAATACGAGGATGGAAGGTTATGTGGCCCACATCAGTAAGGGTCAGAAAACCCTCCGTGGACAGTTTTCTGAGATGAGGTGGGTAATGAATTTCACAGTAGACTGGTGACTGTGACTGACGTGGGTTTATCTGGCCAGCTGTTTGCCTTTTGCTCTTAGAACTGGCTCAAAGGACAATTCTGTTTCCATCTTTCACCACTCGGGGAATAAACGAACCTTATGAGAGAACCCGTGGCACCCGAAATTAAATCTCAAAATGAGATAGCGCTTATTTAAGACCCGAAGGCAGAGATCCACGCTTTGCAAAGAACTGTCCTTTGCACCGGGAAGGTCTCTCTGGATGGCGCTTGTACTTGTTACTGCGCCGTCCCAGCAAGGGCTCTACCTTGATCACGGAGGTCGCGCCTCTCCTGGGCTTCAGACTCTTTCTGTAGTGTATGCACTGCCTGCTCCTTCATTCTCTTTTCTTTGTGTCGTTAACAAACGAACAAGCAAAGATGGTGAGTAAGGAGTTGTGGCCAATATTTATTACGATGTGCCAGGGAGGAGTCTGTATGCTTGAGAGCAGCTCAGTAAGGTGTTTATATTGGAGCCTGAAACCATCAGTGCCTTGTACCTACTGAGTGCTCTGTGTTAGCTCTTGTGGTCAGCTCCTTCAGTTTATTTCATTAATAGGATTTGTTTTTTTTAAAAAGCGGTTTAGATTAACAGAAAAAATAAGCAGAAGTAAGTTTCCACATACCCTGTGAGCTTTTTACAACTGTGATACATTGTTACAGCTGGTGCTCCAAAGCTGACACATTGTATTATTAGCTGAAGTCTGTAGTTTTCTCAGACTTCCTTATTTTTTTACTTAGTGTCTTTTTCTGTTCTGGGAGCCCATCCTGAGCACTGCCGTATATATAGTTAACTGTCCTGTCTCCTTAGGGTGCTCTTGCCTGGGACAATTTCCTAGACTTTCCTTTTNGTATATATAGTTAACTGTCCTGTCTCCTTAGGGTGCTCTTGCCTGGGACAGTTTCCCAGACTTTCCTTGTTTTTGGTGACCTCGACAGTGTTGAGAAGTATTGGTCAGGTGTATTGTAGGATGCCCTTCTACTGGAATTTTCCTGGAAGGAAACTTGTTAAAATTTCCACGCACGCAAAAACAAAAACTGAAAGAAAAACCCAGCATGCCCATGTGGTGTCCTTATGCCTCTTTAAAATAGGTCCCCAAAGCCTCTGTGTTCAGAGCCCCTCATTACACCTGCCCAGGCCGGGGCGCGCGCCTCCACCAGAACCCACCTCCAGCTCCCAGAGCCCACATCCGTCCGCGCCTTTCCTTGTGCTGCCCAGAGCAGCTCCTCCCTTCCTCTCCAGGCTCTAACTCCTGCTCCCTCTAGAGGCTCAACCACATAGTTTTGGTTTCTCTATGAAACCTCTTGGAATTTAGTCCCTTGCTGAATTGTGCCATTTGGTGTTGCCGGGCCCACCTCCCTCCACGGCTCTGTGTTATACAGGCGAAAGGTGAAAATTGGGTTTCTAGTCATACTTCCGATCTGCCCCAGGCCATGGCCAGTGCCTGTTGTGTAAAATGCATTTATCCTGAAACGGTACATTTAGAAAGGAGCACACACTTGAGTCACAGACTTCTCTGTTTCGGTTTTGCTTTTCTGTGTCGTCTGTCACGAGTTCAAGTACAGTGGCTGCAGTTTTAGTTTTTTGGTGAGAAGGACTCAGGAGGAAGACAAGGTGACAAGGCCGGAGGCCAGGTCTGCAGTTCTCGAGGTGACCCATGGAGCACAGTGAGGGGTGGACCTGTGGAGGTGCCTGCCCTGTGCAGTGGACGGCACACCTTGGCATGGACGCCAGAGTGGATTGAACACAGGAGGGGGGACTGCCCCAGTTAGAGCCAAGCGGGTGGCAGAGAGGTGGTAGGGGTGACCTGCCACTCCCATGCCCGCCCCTCCTCAAATGCCTGTCTCTTAGGTTTGCTGGTTGGCCCCCGAGCAGACAGCAGGGAAGGAGAAGCCCTTTGTCTACACCCAGGGGCAGGCAGTCCTGAACCGGGCCTTCTTTCCATGCTTTGACACGCCTGCCGTCAAGTGCACATACTCAGCCCAGGTCGAGGTAAGGGGCGGAGGTTGGGCGCCTGCCCTGGGGACTGGAAAGGTAACTTTCCATTGGTAAATTACAAGATCCGTCCAGGAAAAGTTCCTCCGCCTGCAGAAAGCTCATGCGTGNCCATTGGTAAATTACAAGATCCGTCCAGGAAAAGTTCCTCCGCCTGCAGAAAGCTCACGCGTGGTAAATCCTATTGGTTTAGTGCAAGTTTGGTTTCTTAAAGCCGTTGGGGACCGGTGGGTGCGGGGTGCCTGCTGTCACTGTGCAGGTTGCTGGTCACGCTGCTCTTCAGCTTCCGGACAGCAGTCTCTCCAGGCGAAGCCCTGAGCGTCCCTCTGCTCTCAGGTCCCAGAGGGCTTCACAGCTGTGATGAGTGCGGACACCTGGGAGAGGAAGGGGCCAAACACGTTCTTCTTCCGCATGAGCCATCCCATCCCCTCCTACCTCGTTGCTCTGGCCATCGGAGACCTGGTTTCCGCGGAGGTGGGGCCCAGGTAGGAGCAAAGCCCCCAGGGCAGGGTTGGCTTGACCCCAGGCAGGGTGGCCTCTGAGTGTTGGAGCTGCCCATAGAGCTCGGGCATCTGTGCCCTCTGTCTGCAGCGTCCGTGGGTCCACGCTGCCTGAGGGAGCTGGAGGCCCTGCTCTGTCTCCTCCCTGTCTCTCTCCCAGTTTGTTTGTTTTTATAAATATGTCTTTATTGATTTCAGAGAGAGGAAGGGAGAGGGAGAGAGAGAGAGAGAAACATCCATGATGAGAGAGGCATTGACCGGCTGCCTCCTTCACGCCCCCCACTGGGGATGGAGCCCGAAACCCAGGCGTGCGTCCTGACGGGGAATCGAACCGTGATCTCCTGGATCCTAGGTTGATGCTCAACCGCTGAGCCACGCAGGCCAGGCCCTGTGTCCCAATCTAATGCTGTGTCCGCCATGAGATCATGGGNCCCCCACTGGGGATGGAGCCCGAAACCCAGGCGTGCGTCCTGACGGGGAACCGAACCGTGCNTCCATGATGAGAGAGGCATTGACCGGCTGCCTCCTTCACGCCCCCCACTGGGGATGGAGCCCGAAACCCAGGCGTGCGTCCTGACGGGGAATCGAACCGTGATCTCCTGGATCCTAGGTTGATGCTCAACCGCTGAGCCACGCAGGCCAGGCCCTGTGTCCCAATCTAATGCTGTGTCCGCCATGAGATCATGGGCCCCCAGTCCCAGCTGCTGGCTGGGTCACCTGAGAGTGAGGTTGGGGCTTAGGCAGCAGGACTAAAGATCCACCTTTATGAGCTCCTAACATTCTCCCGCCCCTTGTACCTTTAAAGCAAAAAGGAAACACACTGGAGCTGAGGCCTGCGTGTCACCGGGCACCGCCTTGGCCTCCCTCCAGGGCCGGGGTCCCTCACCACAGTCCCCTGGACACCCAACGGCTGTGCTCGGGGGTGGGGGCCCGCCTCGTGTCTCCTGGCCACACCGTCCCATTTGTTTGGCCCAAATGTGAGACTGAGGCTGGTTTTCTTCGGGTGTTTTCAGGATGGGCCCCATCCTGGTCTGTGAACAGCACGGTGCCCCTCTGCTCTTCCGTCCCTAGGAGCCGGGTGTGGGCCGAGCCCTGTGTGGTCGAGGCTGCCAAGAAGGAATATGACGGTGTGATAGAGGAATTCCTGGCCACGGGAGAGAAGCTTTTTGGACCCTACGTTTGGGGAAGGTGCGGTTCCTGTTGACTGATGTCCCTGGCTCCCCAGCCCCCCTCTGTTTCCTGGAGCAAAGCGCCCCCATCCCAGAGATGAGCGGGGAGGGAGGAGCCAGACCTGGTGCCCTGGTGCTGATGAGGGACCCGGTGACAGTTACTGAGGCGATAAAAGAAGGCCTCGTGGTTGCTGAGCTCCGAGGTCAGGACCTTTGTGGACCCGTCATCTCTCCTGGCTCCTGGGAGCAACCCACACCCAGGGGTCCTTTAGCATCTTCGGACTGTAGACTCCCTGGAGAAACGGCTCCGTGAACAGGAGACAGATTTTGGAGGGCAGACCGGGGGAAGGGAGTGCCGGCGAGTCGGTTGGGACTGAGGAGCCTGGTGGCATCTCTGTGCCAGGCCGGGGTCCTGCACTGCCTGTCCAGTGTCCACATTTCGGGGCGGGGAGGAAGGCGGGGTATGCCCTGGAGCAGGGCCTCGTGACCTCCCGCTGTCCCCAGGTACGACCTGCTCTTCATGCCACCTTCCTTCCCGTTCGGAGGGATGGAGAACCCTTGTCTGACCTTCGTCACCCCCTGCCTGCTGGCCGGGGACCGCTCCTTGGCCGATGTCATCATTCACGAGATCTCGCACAGCTGGTTTGGGAACCTGGTCACGAACGCCAACTGGAGCGAGTTTTGGCTCAACGAAGGCTTCACCATGTACGCCCAGAGGAGAATCTCCACCCTCCTCTTCGGTAAGCCAGCCCGCAGCCCCACACCTGCGCCCAGGAGGCCAGCATGACCTGGGACTTCAGGGTCCACGCGGTGCGAAGGGAGGAGGCAGTGGAGCAGGGGAGGGGTGTCTCAGAAGTGGCTGCCCACCGAATGAGCTCACCCGAGCTGGAGCCACACCTGCTGCTCCGGGGGAGCGTTGCCCAGGGTTGTTCGCCCAGGATGCCAGTCCGTTTTCTGAGTGAAGCACACGTCATCACGATCACTGCCTTCCACTGCACACACCAGCTTCCCACTGGGCATGTCGGGGGGAGAAATGCACCCTTTAGCAATTTGGCAGTAGCTCACTTTATGTGTGGGTCACTCTGGCTCAGAGACAGTGAGAGCGTGCGGGTGAGAAACTGAGGCTGCGAGGGGTTCGGAACTTGTCCAGAGCCAGTGCCCCCTCCCCTCACCCTCTGACCTTCCCACAGTCACTTTTAGAGCCAGAAGGAGACTNACCAGCTTCCCACTGGGCATGTCGGGGGGAGAAATGCACCCTTTAGCAATTTGGCAGTAGCTCACTTTATGTGTGGGTCACTCTGGCTCAGAGACAGTGAGAGCGTGCAGGTGAGAAACTGAGGCTGCGAGGGGTTCAGAACTTGTCCAGAGCCAGTGCCCCCTCCCCTCGCCCTCTGCCCTTCCCACAGTCACTTTTAGAGCCAGAGGGAGACTAGACACCCTTAGAAAAATTTTGGGTGATGGTTTCTCGTGTCTGATGGGAACAGTCTGGTGAGAATACGCCATTTTTGCCCTGGCCGGCGTGATTCAGTGGTTAGAGCATCGGCCCGCTGATCGAAGGGTCCCGGGTTTGAATCTAACCAAGGGCACGTGCCTTGGTTGCAGACTTAATTCCCCAGCCCTGGTCTGGGCATGTGCAGGAGGCAACCAGTTGATGTGACTCTCACATCAATGTTTTCCCCATTCTCTCTGAAAAGCATGGAAAAAAATATCCTTGGTCAGGATTTTTTAAGAAATCGAATCATGCTATTTGATATGTTGCTTGTATTGCTTTTAAATGCAGTATTAAAATTGCTGTGGTTATATTGAATTCCCAAGAAGTTGTTTTCATGTATGTTTTTTAATTTGTTTTCCTGTAATTTTATAGTTTTCTTTGTAGCTTAGCATTTTCTTTTTTCTCCCCTCCTACATCCTGACCCACCCAACAGGCTGTGTAGTTCCAGGTGCTGGTGCAGTGGAAGTGGCAATGGCAGAAGCCCTGATGAAATATCGGCCCAGCGTAAAGGGCAGGGCCCAACTTGGAGTTCAAGCATTTGCTGATGCATTACTCATTATTCCCAAGGTCTGGCTACTTTAACAGTAAATTTTCTAAAATACACCAAAATGATTCAGCTGATGAACTTGAAAGCTTTTTGATAATGTGGGTTTTTTCATAATGTGGGTTTTGAATAAGTTCGGTCAGTTTTCTCTCTAACACTAGAATATCCAAATGTATTTGGTTTCCCTGCAAAGGAAACCTGACTATCTGAAGTTTCAGATGGCAAGAGATAACTGTTTTAAGAGAGTTTGCAGTGTAGGGGATATACAAGTACAAGCTTGCTTTTTAAGTTAAACTACAATCGATAATCATGATTTTCTGTTGGTTATTTGTTGGATATACTATTCATTTATTGTGCATTTG